GGCGGTTAGGAATGGGGTCGTCTCCCTGCCCGCCGACCTCTCCGCCTACCGCTTCGACTGTCTTAACTTGAGGCCTGCGCCGCCAAAACCCCCTCTTCCTCAGTGCGCGGTGGGAAGAAGTCTCTAGGGGCCAATGCGACACTGGCTGACCAGAGCTGGGGTCCTGGCATGGCAGAGCGAAGTCCCAAGGAGAGGCAGGGAGTGTGGCACCAAAGAGAGGCCCTGGGGGTCGACGGATGAGTCTCGAGGAAGGCCCTAGCGCTGCAGGCACCTCAGCCCCACCAAGGTCCCGGTTCCCCCAGGGCAGGGGCGTGGCACAGCTTCCTCCTTCGTGGGGGGGCTGCAGGGAGGGTGGAGACTGGGCCTGAGGTGGGGACTGTGCTCTCCAGAGTCCCTGTCCCTGTCCCCTCAGGCAGCTGCCCAGTCCTGGGAGGGCCAAGCCCATCTCAGTCTCCAGGTGGAAGCCTAAAGGCCACACAAGGCCTGCGGTGTCCCACACAGAAGTCATAGCACCTCTGAGGTCTCTGGTTCTCCCCAAGGTTCCCTGGTGACCTTTATCCAGCTCAACACCTGGGTGTCCCTCAGGCTAGCCTTGGTTCGTGTCTTTATTTTTAAAATCCAATTTCAAGGTTGAGAGCCAAAGGAAGCAGGGAGAACCGTGGCTGCATAGGGGCCCCCCCCCGGGGCTCAGGACAGGCACTGGTGGGACCTCACAAGGGGAGGAAAACTGAATGCCTGTAGGTCTTGGATGGGTTGCAGGGGAGCGGGGGGGGGGTGTTCTTCTATCACTGTCAGACTGGTGTCCCGGTCCAGCTGTCGCTGGCTCCACGTTCCACACATCCCAAACTCCCCTGATAATTTCCTGCAGCTGGTGTGGAAACTTCCCCAGGAGGCCCCCAGGACAGGGAAAGAAACCAGGAGAAATCTCATTAGATTCTTTACACATTTTTTTTTCCCTTGGTTACCAGGGATAGAACTCGTTCCTTGTGCTTGCAAAGCAGGCGCTGGAACCACTGAGGTAAATCCCCGGCCCATTCTTTACACATTTCGTGTGTCTTACGGTATAGGAATGTGTCTCTACAGTAGTCTACTATACAATGTATGAGTTTACACTTTATATACAATTATATAAGACAGTTATATAAGGTATAATTTGCATCTATTTTGTGAGTGCGTTCTTAAATTTTGCCTTTTCCTGGAGGGTGTGGACTCAGAAAAGTTTGGAGAGGGCTAACGGGGGTGGACCTGAGCCAGCCCTGCACTCTGTGGCCGCCCTTGTCTTCCTGGCTCCACCACTGAATATCCTTCCCCTCTCCTCCTCCTCTCTCGCTGCCTCTGCTGTGACATCATTGCTCTCAGCTCATTACGGGAAGAAGATGCTCGAGTTTTTATGTCTGCAGCCCCCCGAAGAGGCTCCTGAGGGTCTGGAAAGCTCCTCTTTGCAGCTTTCCTGCAGGCCTGCAACTCCAGAAGTGCTCCCTGGGGGTCCGTCCCAGGGCCTCAGCGCCTCGAATGCAGCTGCTTGCTTTACTGAATAGCTTATTGGTTTAGACCGCAGCCCCTTGAGGACAGCCCAGCAACTCCCAAGTCTACCTCCTGCATCTGCTCGCCCAAAGGGGGCTGATGTACTGGCCACTAGAGGGGAGAGCTGGGTCCGTGAGGTTAATCAGCCTGTACAAGGTCGGGGCTGCTGACCCCACTAAGCAGCTTGAGCCTTCTAATCCGTTCCCCAGCAGGAGCTTCGGGACAGACACAGACAGCAGTGGGTAGTGAGAGCTGGCCGGGGCCATTTGGTCCCTGGCCTGGGGCCTTCTGCAGACTCGGCTTGGAGGGGATGGGGCAGCTGAGCCATGTGCACCACCCTCTTCCTGCTCAGCACCTTGGCCATGCTCTGCCGCCGCTGGTTTGCCAACCGGGTGGAACCGTGAGAATCCACTGGGCTCTGGGGGTGGAGCTCTGGGCTATGGGCTATGGGTTACAGTCCAGCTCAAGTGGGCTGCGCTCCTCCAGCAGGCTGGGAGGGGAACTGCAGGAGTCCCTGAGGGGGTCACTGGCAGAGCCTCTGGCCCCATGGCTCTAGGTGATTGGGCTGTGAGGAGGGGCCGGGCAGGGCTGGGCACTGCCCACAGCTTTATCTGCCTGCTCTGCCTTTCACAGAGAGCCCAGGGAAGCAGATGGGGCAGTTATGGGCAGCAACGCAGATGCGGACCTTCAGTCCCCAGGCAGGTGAAGCCGGAGAGTAGTGGGGGGGCTGCCATGGAAGCTGCTGCTGTGTGTGTGGTCACCCTGCAAGCCTGGTAGGCTGGCCACATGTCTGTTTTCACCAGGGGGGCGAGGGGAGGAGAGTGAGTCCCTGGCCCCTACTCTGGACCAAAGCTTCACTGCTCTGCCTGTGTGAGCGTCCCCAGGACTACCTTCTGTCAGAAGGAGGCACAGGGGAGCGCAGAGGGAGGGGCAGAGGCAGCTTTGGCCGGCTTTGCTCACCCGTCCTTGCCCTTCCCTTCCCCCTATGTCTCCCTGTGCCCCCACCCGAGCCTCAGCAGCTCCACTGCCTGAACCTACAGCAGGATTCGCTGTCCAGCCCCCAATAGAAGGTGCAGGAGGAGCATGACATCATCAGCGATGAGTGCCATTGGCTGGGCAGTCCCTGGGGCAGGAAGCTGTCTCCAGTGGCCAGAAAGTTAACTCTTCCCTAGGCAGAAGCCTTGTGGCCTTTGGAGGGGGTGGTGAAGTTGTGGGCGCTTTTCTAGACTTTTCTTCCCCTGGCTCTTTGGTAGAGGCTCCTAAACCCAACAAGACACTGAAAAAAAGTCAACCAAAGTCTACCTAAGACCTATGTGTAAGTTGTTCTGTATGTGCCTGTGAACCACACCTAGACCTTTCTGAAGAGTGATCTCTCACCCCTACTGAAACAGAACAAAAAAGATCCTAGGGGGTAGGCATGGTGACACTACCTGTAATCTTAGCACTTTAGGAAGCTGGGGCAGGAGGATTGCAAGTCCAAGTCCAGCCTGGGTAATTTAGGGATTTCGCTAGACAAAATACAAAGCAAAGAGGGCTGGGTATGTAGCTCAGTGCAAAGGCTCTGGGTTCAATCTCCAGTATTGGGGGACGGAGGGGAGAGGGAGAGAGAGAGATTGTAGGAAGTCCTCTGGCTCCAGGACCCACTGGTAGGAGGGTATCTCCACCTAGGCTGCCCTCAGGTTGGGGGTGCAGTCAGCATGCATGCCTGGGACCCTCCACGTCTCTCTGGGTGTAAGACCAGCCTGCAAGGTGCCCCTTAAATGGGCAGAAACTGGTGAGAGAGAACTTAAACCTTTCTCTAGTCCCCTTGTCGTCTCAGTCCTGGAAGTCACCCAGATTTGGACTGTCATAGGCCCAATGTGAAAGAGAGGCATTTCAGAGACACCACAGCTAGCTAAGATCATGATAGTGCCCGATGGCATTACTAATTAAACAAGCTGACTATAAAGCATGACTGTTACTGGGCCTCCCCACAGGAGGCATTCAAATGCTGTTGGGTCTTCACTATCGAGTTTGCGGAATTTAAATCCTGGTTCCTCTCTTACTGAGACACTTTGGATCATTTATGTAATTATTTTATTTCTTATAAACTGGAATTAGTAATAAATTGGTGGCGGGTTTCTGTGAGGACGAACAGTTTACTATGGTAGCAGCTGTTGCTCTTTTATAGGGTCAGGGCTTTCTTTCTCCCCGGAAGTTTCTCACATAGTTACCCAGAAGAGGGTTGGCAGGGCATGTGTTTTCTATGCCTTGTTGATGATTAAGAAAACTGAGGAGCAGGAAGATTTGAAGGGATTGCTTAAGATCACCCGGCCAATTTGTGTCTGATGTGGGACCATCAGGCCTCTGACTTTCAAGAAAACTCTCTTTTGCCTGAAATGGGCCTGGCCCTCCTGGCAGGAGAGGAAAGGGCAAATCTGCAGACCATCTGGCCAGGCCTTAGCCAGAAGGAAGTAGTGCTATTAGCTCCTTGGGATCCAGTTATCTGGAAAAATTGGCCCGACATGGAGGAACCACCTGCTGATGTGGCCACCACAGAGGGCTGGCTGAGGGTAGCACAGGGATGAGATTTTTGCTTTCCAGTTCCGAGTCATAAATTCCAAGTTGTTTCTTAGGTGCTTCTTCCCTCAACACCCAAGTGAATAGCTAAAGTGTATGGGTAGGAGGAAGAAGAGAGCCAGAAACGTGGGTTCTTTCCCGTCAGTCCTTTGACTCCAGTTTTCCTCCACTCAGGGAGAAAGAACCTCTGAAGTAAGCCTTCACCTCATCAGGCTGGGCTCAGCTCTGGGCACTGGGATCGGCTGGCCAGGCAAGCAGGGCAGGGCCAGGAGCCCTGGAGGGAAAAGGGTTGAGCTGGGGTCAAGGAAGAAGAAAGATGCAAGACCACACCAAGCAGTCTCCACGGCTGGTGGTCACTAGTGGAGGCTGAGCGGGAAGATGGAGCTGTTCGTTCAGCACCATCTTGCTACCTTCCAGGCCACGGGCAAGGGATGGCTAGAGGAGAGCCCGGTGTGGGAGAGGTGGTGGCTGTGCTGAGGCTTGCGGATCCTGCTGGCGGACTTCTAAGCAGGAGGTGTTGCCCCGGGATGTCACCCCGAAGTCCTAGGTCTGTCTTCGAGCACGAGGGAAAGCGCTGATCTGTTTGGCCTTCTGTTTCAGCCCAAGTCCTTGTTTGACCTACAGCCCAGGAGGACACGAGGGGTGCAGCAGTTGGGAGGAGAGAAGCGGTGATGGAGAAGGTAGGCACCTCCCTTTCAGGCCCTGGACAGACTCCGGCTGTGGGGCTCTGAGTGAGGAGTTCCTGGGCATCCTCCGAGGGACAGAGGAACCCAACCCAAGAAGCGCCACAGAGAGGGACTTGCTGGGGTCCACCAGGTTAACTCTAGGGCAGCTTGTGCAAGAGGCAGGGCCAGGCAGAGTGTGAAGGGAACCCAGACTCAAGGGGCAGTGGCTGGCTCGCACGCACGAGTTGGGGGCTTCTGTCTTTCTCCGGTTCACTCCTCACCATAACCCATGGTGCTGATCTGCATTGCACCTGAGGACAAGGAGGCAGGTTCGATAACTCGCCCAGTGTCACCCACACTGTGAAGTGGGGGAGGGCCCGAGGCTCACCTGGAGGCTGCAGAACCTACCCCAGTCTGCAGCTGCCCGGTGAAAGGCGGAGTCTGTTAGTTTGGACAACTGTGTGGTGGCACCGGGGTGATTCTGTTAAGCCAGCTTGTGGTCTAGGGCTGTGCTGATGTCCACCTGGCACGGTGGCCCCCATTTTCAGTGTCACTTGCCTCTCCCCAGGCCCCTGTCATTTGGCTGCTCTGCTGAATCACCAGTAAGAGAGGCCGGCTGGATCGGTGACATGGGACCAGTCACCAGAAGGTCTTCTGAATGTGCTTTCTGTGTGTGCACGCGCATGTGTGCACGAATGTGTGTGCGCGCGCGTGTGACTGGGTTCCAAAAGGGCAGTCGCGTGTGGGAAGGGAACAAGCATGACACTCGCTTTTGTCAGTGTGCTGACTGCTCAGTAGTGGTGGTGGCCTCCTTTGCCGCCAGCTGCTCTGCCATTTCTCTCCCTTTACAGTCCTGCCCGATCCCGAGCAGAGATAAAAGCAGATTTCCGCTCGCTCACAGATCCAGGCGCAGACCCTGCGGGCAGCTGCTCCCAGCTGTCTCACAGTCATTAATCTTCAAAAGCGCCCCCACGCCCCCACTCAGCATCTCTCCTCCCGGTCCAGCCCCCCACTGCCGGCCCAGCAGCCATGTCTGCGTGGCTGGCCTCTGCCCTTGACTTTCAAGCAGCAGGGGATGGGAGAGTTCTCTAGACAGCAGCACCCAGCCGCTGCTCCACATCCGAGGGGAGGCAGCGAGAGGCGCCGCAGCGGAGAGGGAACCCACTCTGAGGCTGAGGAGGCCGGAGCCTGCTGAGGCTGCAGGAGCCTTCCGTGGGAGCCTCGCAAAGTAGGGCAGGGAGGAGGCAGGGGAAGGTCGCCCCGGGAGGAGCCTGCCAGAGCCAGAGCGCCCACCTGACCCAGGCCACCTGTCTCAGCTCCTGTCAGCCTGTCTTTCTCCTGGGAGGCTGAGCCTTCCGCGTGACAGGATGTCAGGCCGAGGGCCAGAGGGCGCTGTTCCCAGGACCCCGTCTGTGTTCCCCGATCCCATCCCCCGTCATTCTCCCGTGTGTTTGCCACGTTCCTGTCACCTCATCTTTGCCTCGGCTCTCTGCCGTCTCTAAGTTGCCTGCCTCCTTCCAATGGTCTGAGGAATTGTCAGACCAAGGTCATGGAGCGGGCACACTTCCACAAGGCGGCACCCCTAAGGGGCAGCACTGTTCGGTGAGCCTGGGCAGGGTCCATTCCAAGGGAAGGGTGGGAAAGAGAGAAGGGGCTGCCGGCAGTGGGGCATGTGGCTGCCTGGGCCTGGCAGCTGGGGTGCCATGTGGGCTGGGCTCTCTCCCCTGGGAGCAGGCTGGCTTTGGTGGGAGCAGACTGTGTTTACACCTTCCCCGCACACCCGCCAGGGCTTGCCTCTTATTCCCGGGGCCTCTCCCACCCCTGGGGCCTCTGCGAAATCTGCGCAATTGCAGCTCCTGCTGCAGAGTTGCCTCCCTCAGCTCGAACTCCTCTACCAGAGGCTCCCCGGACCCAGGAGCCCCTCCTTGGCCCATGAGCTCCCATCACAGGGGTGAGTGAAGTCTGGGTCAAGGGTGGGCCCTCTTAGGGGGAGTCACTTCAATTGTGCCCGAGACACCATCTCCACAGAGCGAGTCTTTCGTCTCCTTATTTCCTTGGAAAGACCCACCGCTTGGAAGTGGGAGCGGGAATGCTTAGGGGCTTGGGAGAGAGAGCGGAGCTGAAGAGCTCGGTTAGTCCTCGTTCACGACGCTGGCGCTGATGAAATAACCATGAAGGAGCTAAGAGTGAGGACTCCAGAGTCAGAGCATCTGGATCTGAATCACACTCCACCACTTCCTCCCTCTGTGACCTTGGGCTCCTTATGGCATGTCTCTGTGCCTCAGTTTACTTCTCTAAGATCGAGACAGTAGCACTTATTTCTGAGTTGGTGTGAGGGTTCAATAATGTAGTGGTTAGCACACCTGTAAGTCTTCCATATGTGCGAGCTAGTAGTCACCTGGGAACTAGAAGGTACTGCGCAATGGCAGGTTCAGACTACTGGGAGGTCCTCCCGTCTCACCCCACGGTCTTTCCCACCCTGCCTCTCTATACGCACAATCACCGGGCGACCGGCAAGTTCAAAGCAAACTACAGGAGGGTGAGGGCACCCAGGGAGCCAGAACCGCAACGACCACCCTGGCCTCTGCGTGTGCCCAGAATTCTGTCTCCGCCTGCATGGCGGTTTTGATCTGCACATCTCCCCTCAGCTGCCTCTGCTTCCCAAGTGCATCTCAGCCGCCGAGGGAGACAGAAGTCCTTTGCCCTCATGTCTTTCCTCTTCATCTGAATGCTAATCTTTCTGCTGGCCAGAGCCTGAGTGACAAGGAAGAGACTGCTCAGAGCTGCAGGGCAGCCGAGGGCAGCAGCCGGAGCAGGGAGGTGCCGCTGTCTGCTCCTTCTGTGGCTGACACTTGGGGGTGCTGCCAGTCTCTCCTGGAGGTTGGAACATGACCAGAGAACTAATGAGGTGTTGGAAAGGAGCAAGGAAGTAGCCATGGCAGCTGCGGCAGCTGCTGCTGTTCTGCGTCAGCCCCGGGGTGCAGCTGTGGCTTTGGGGGAGTACCTGCCCATCAAATGCCTGGTGTGTCTGTGTGCGCACACAGTCCTGAGACAGGTGTGCACCAGAGGCCTCGGTCCAAGCCTCCGGGGGCAAGGCCTGCAGCCCAATGTGAGGCAGGTACAGTGCAAGAACAGTGCACCCCACTGGCCCCACGGGTGCCGTGGGCAGTGTGAGTTACTGCACAAGGGCAGATTTGACTCTTTGGAGCTCCTCCCGTCTCACCCCATGGTCCTTCCCACCCTGCCTCTCCTCTGCACGGAGAAGCCTGAGTCCTTGAGCTAGAGGAAAGTAATCCTTCCTTGTAAGGCACAAAACAAGGAGAACGGCAAATCGGCCTCTGCCAAAGCTTAGGTTAATATAATGATAATGACCTTAATAATGCTATCAACGATGGCTAACATGTATCAAAACTTTTATGTGCCAGGCACTGTGCCCAGTGCCTTACTTATAAGCACTATCTCATTTAGGAGGCAGGCACTGTTGTTATCCTCATTTACCCACTCAGAAAAGTGAAGTTCACAGAACCTGCTCAAGGTACTCAAAGCTAGCAGGAAAGTCAGGCCTGCCTGTACCTGGGAAATCTGACGCCAAACCTTGGGGCAGAGAGGACCAGAGTCTGGGGTTGGTGAAGAAATTCCAGGTGTGACTGCTTGCGAGCGCACAAGCACTGGAGCCCTGCACCAGCCCTGGATACGTCTGTGCAGGGGCCAGGGTCATTCCTGCTGCTGTCTCTTCAGGGACACCTTCAGGCAAGGGCAGACCAGACTCTGGGCCCTAGAAAGGCCAGTCCTTGCCGGCCTGCGGAGGGGAGTGAAGAGCTGCCTCCTCAGGATCCATCGGTGCCACGCAGGGAGGAAGCGGTCCCCCCTGGCAGGGATGAGACAGCAAGGTCACCACTCAGAGTCACTGCCACTGCCTCCTTCAATCAGGGGCTGAGCCCTGGGGAGAGAAGAGAGAGGCGGCCAGCAGCCCAGCTGGAGAGGAGGGAATGCGAGGCGACAGACTGTTTTGACCTGCTCGTGTTTTCGAGGGAAGGATGTGGGGCAGAGACCTAAGAGGGGTTCAGGACAAGCTGGAAACACGTTCTGTAGCCAAGGACCACAGACCCTCTCCGAGGGATACATGTGCCCCCTAGTGGGGGTTAAGACTGGATGGTGGCTGAGAAGATTAAAGCAAAACAAAAGATTTACTAACATTCTCTGAACCCATGAGCTGGGGGAGGAAGTGCCAGTCTTGTCCTAAGTGAACACACACACATACTTAATTCGTATGCAGAAGCCACGTGAACTAAGCATGAAAAGAAATTAAGCATGAAAACCATTTGATGGTTTACTTACCATACGAACTGGGAACCTACAATGTACACACACCAAGTCAGGTGTTGGAGTGGAACGTAATAAAAGAGCCTGTGTCACTCCCTGCCCTTTCAGCCTAGTTCTGCCAGTTTACCCCCACCTGCTCATGTAACCTTTTGTGCTGCAGACCTAGTTTTCTCCATTCAATAGACATGTGTCCAACCTAGGTGACATTTAAAGGACAAACGACCTCCTTAGGAAAAGAAACACCGAGTAAAATGACGGGGTGGGCCAGGTGATCTCAGGGCCCCCACAGATATTTCTCATCAAGACAGACTGTCTGAAGGTGCTGACAAAGGCTTGCCATGTGACAAACATTTACAGAGTGCTTGTTTGTCAGGTCCTCTGGATACAAACATGGATTAAGACCTTCTGCCACAACCAACCAGGAAACTGGGCAAAATATGAGAAACAGACACTTGACAACGGGCAACAAACAGGACAATAACCCCATGACTGCCTTGGCCTCTGCCCAGAGACAATTCCCCGCTATTCGCAAGGATATCCAGTGAACCAATGGGCTCCAACAGCAGAGCAACAAAGGTATCTCGGTACAGAAAGGAAGGTCCTTTCAACTGGATACAGGAAGCACTAACTGCAGAAGAAAACTCCACTGGAATTTTTCAAAGTCACACTTGTGCTCCTGAAAAGACTGGGAGAAAATATCTGCCAAATATCTGAGAATAGACTTCTCTCCAGAATATATAAAGCACTTTTACATTTCACTAATAAGGTAGGAGTGTTTAATAAGGAGTGTTTAAGGTAGGAGGGTTTTATAAAAAAATATAAAGCCTGGAACAGGGATTTAGCTCAGTGGCACCCCACCTGCGTCACAAGCATCTGAGTTCGATCCCTGGGACTGTGAAAGAAAAGAAAGGAGGGAAGGAATAAAGATGAAGGAAGGAAGGAAGGTGTTCGGTATCATAAATCATCAGAGAAATGCACATCAAAAGCATGATGAGGGCCAGGGATTTAGCTCAGTGGTTCTGCCGCCTACCTCGCAAGCACAAGGACCGGAGTTCGATCCCCGGTACGCGAAAAAAAAAAAAAGCATGATGCGATACCAGTACACGCCACTAGAATGGTTAAAATTAAAGAGGGACCATAATGAGGTGAGGATGTGGAGAAACTGTAATCTGATAATAAAACCACTTGGAAATCAGTGTAATGTTTCCTGTAAATGAATCCAAGAGGAATGAAAACCTATGTCCACAAAAAGATTTTACAGAAATGTTCACAGCAGCTTTATTAACAATAGCTCCAAACTGGAAGCAACCTAGATATCCAGCAACATGTGAATGGGTAAACTGAGGTACCTTAATACAACAGAATAACACTTAGCAACAGCAAAACATGAACTATGGACATCAGTAACAACATGGGGAAAGTGAGAGGCTAGACACAAAAAGAGCACCTGGTGCGGGATTTTACTTACGAAATTCTAGGACAAACAAAACTAACTGATGGTGACACAATGCAGATCAGTGGCTGACCAGGGCCAGGACTGGGATGGGGCTGACTGTAAAAGGGTACGAGGGTGCTTTCTGGGATGACAAAGCATGTTCTAGATCATGTCTGGGATTATGCCTATTGGACTCTAATGGTACATTTTGAGTGGATGTATTTTATTGACATATATTATACCTCAAAAAGATGACCACACAGTTAAAACAAGAACAAAGGCCCCATCCTTGTTTTGCTAACAACCTAGCAGAAAATCCAGTTGGGAAAAAAAAAAATTCCAAAACAGTGTGATGAGTATCAGAAACACGTCCAAGCAACAGGCGCTGCCATTCACTGGGTGTTTATCTTGTTCCCAGGCCCGGCCGGGTTGAGTGCTTTGTGTGCAGTCATAAAACAGTCCCCTGAGAGTGGATGATCACCACGCCTCTCATTTCACAGATGAGAAAGATGAGTCTTAGAGCCAGGTGAAGAGATCTGTCCAAGGTTACACAGCTAAAATCAGCAGAGCCAGGACTCTCCTCCAGGTTGGTCTGATTGCAGAGCATGTGCTAAACCACCTGCCACAAGAAAGGAGCCTTGTGCAAGCAGCTCGGGGACTGCTGTAGCACGACAGCCAGCACCACGCACTGGCGGTATTTATGAGCTGGACTTTGCCAAGCAGGGGAGAAAATGGGGGAAAGGGAATTTTAAGGGGAAGGGAACAAATACCACAAGAAGGGTTATGCAACAGTGGTGAGAAGACAGATTTCTGGGAATGGAAGGACATGTCCAGGAAATGGCAGATAAGGGCCAGAGAACATTACATATTCTTCCAATTTGTTTATTTCTATTCTTCTAAGTGTGTGTGTGTGTGTGTGTGTGTGTGTGTGTGTGATTAGGGATTGAACTCAGGGCCTTCACACTGAGCTGTATCCCCAGGATCTCTCTGAAATGCTAAATTGCCCAGGCTGGGCTTAAATTTGCAATCTTCCTGCCTAATCCTCCCAGAGGACTGGGATTATAGGTGTGTACCACATCTGGTTGACAGTTTTACTAAATACAACAGCTCTGCAGAGCAGGTGAGTGAAATGCACTGCTTTTCTTCCTGAATACTATTGTAAAATCAAGGAAGTAATCCACAACTCCAAGGTCTCTATTCTCAATAAATAGAGTGTACACTGTTATATTTCTCCTCCTCCAGAAAGTTACAGCTACATTCAGCGATCTAAGATTTTTGCTGAACGGGATTTGTGGCAATGTTTGACAATCTTCAAGGCAGAAAAAAAAAATCCTGAATGTTTTCATGATGAACTTTGTAGGAGGATGAACTGAAATCACTGGAGCTATGTAAAAATGTCCCACTGTCACTGCAGAACATTTTAGGAAAAACAGCATGGCGGTTATGTTAGCGTCCTGTTACTATAACAAAATACCTGAGATAATTCACTTGTAAAGCTGGCTCACAGTCCTGCGGGGTCCAGTCCAAGACTGGAGGCATTTTGGGCCTTTGCTTTGGGACTCTAGTAAGGCAGCACATCTTGGCAGATGGGAGGTGGTACCAACTGCTTAGCTCCTAAACGAGGAAGCAGAGAGAGAGAGGGAGGGAGAAGAGACTGAGGTCTCTAAATCCCTTTCAAGGGTACATCCATCACCTAAGGCCCTCCACTGAGCTTCACCTCCTAAAGAACCTACCACCTCCTCACACGGCCACACCAGGGACCAAGCTTTTAACATAGGGGCCTTGGGAAGACGTTCAACATCCAAACTATTAACAGTACTGTAACTTGTACAGTCAAACCACTGTCTCGGTTTTGTCATGATGCATTATTCCAGGGAATTATTCTTACCGGCTAAAAAAAGATATGGGAACGCCGGGGATTTAGTTCAGTGGTGCCGCCACCTGCCTCGCGAGCACAAGATCCATAGTGGGATCCCCGGTACCAAAAACAAACAAACAAAAAAAGATAGGGGAAGCGCCAATATCATTTAGGATGATTCTGACTCTAACAGAATACCCAATTAAAATAACTTAAACAATACAGAGATTTAAAAAAAAAATCTTACCTTTTGTATTTCACAGAAACTGAGATGTCATTGCTCATAAGACACAACCAGAAATATTAAAATGTAAAAACAGATTTTGGAATCAAAACAAGAGGGCTGAGGTCAGGGTGTTAGGACTGGCTATATCAGTTCAATGGCATCACCAAGGACTTAAGTTTTTTTCTTTACCCTCGGCCTTCATAAGTACACAGCTCTTGCTCTGAAGGAGCCTCTGAAGGGTGCCTCATGGATGCAAGACGGCTGCAGCAGTCCCAAGCATTGCATCTTCACAATGTCCCAAAGCCAGAAGAGAAGCTGTTACCTTAAATAGCAGAAAACTTAACCAGACTTGGCCAGAATCACGTTGCAGATAAGATGGAGAAAGAAAAGCTTGCAGAAGGGCCACTACCAGTGCCTGCAAACAGATGTACTTTCGTGCAACCCCTCCAAGTATTGGCTGTGACTGCCAGCCGCCTGGGATACAGCCTATCCTCTTTCGTGTTCTTATAAATAAAATTAAAGATTCATTTCTGGGTTAAGGAATTAACTTAATATTGCAAAGAGTCTGTTTTCTATTACTGTGGGATTTGGATACTGTTTCTTAAATCTATCAGTGACTGCCAAACACAGCAGACCAGCTGACTAACTCTTCTGACTCTTTGTACTCAGAGCCTGGGTCCCTTCGGACTCCTGCCCAGCTCAGTTTGTGATCTACTTCTGTCACTTGTAAATAGACTGGGATTCTTCCCGTGTCAATAAACACAGAGCTGCACAAGTCTCGTATAACAGCTGTACAATAATTCCACTGTGTGTAAAACTCAACCATACTGGATCTCAGCATGAGTACAGATGAGATCATAGTAACAGTAACACTTCAGTCCCAGCCACTCGGTCCTGAATGGCCAGCCGCTGAACTCAGGGTTTCTGATGCATTCTTTGAAGTTTCTCTGTTCTTTCCGGACGGCTCCGCAGTTGTACCTCGAGTACACTCAGGCACAAGGCCTCCGGTGTCCTGCTCTAGCCTCTTGGCCACTGGCCAGCTGCCCGTAGCACCCCACTGGTTGTGACACTGCTGCTGTTCTAAGTACAACTGTGCTCTGCAGGGGAAGTTGTGCCCTATCAGGTGTGAAAGCTACACAGTGACTGCGGCTGAGTAGGGAGCTACGGAAAATGACCCTCCCTGCACACTGGGGGGCAATTAGTTTGGAGCTCAGCACAGCCTGTGAGAGCCTGGATGCTCACAGTCTTTCCCAGATCACCTCTGGCAGACGCTCACCCTCACTCTTCCTGCTATCAAGGGGCTCAAAACAGTGGAGTAGGTGCCCAGCATTCTTTTTTCATTTCTTTTTTTGTTTGTTTTTTGAGACAGGGTCTCACTATGTAATTCAGACTGACCTGGAACTCACTATGTAGCCCAGGCTGGTCTCGAACTCACAGCGATCCTCCTGCCTCAGCCTCCCGAGTGCTGGGATTACAGGTGTGAGCCACCACACCCGGCTTTCTTTTTTCATTTCTGATTTGTCCCCAACCATCTCTGCAAACAAAAATTCTCTTCCCTTCCTGTTTGCCCCTCAAAAATTCTTATGTATTAGATTGACTCATTTACGGTGCAGAACAAGTTAGTGGAGAAAGCATGAATTCCACAGGCTGGGATCAAATCCTGATACTGGCTGAGAATTTGGCTCAGTGGTTCCACCACCTGCCTTACAATTGCAAGGTCCCGAGTTCAATTCCCGGTACAAGAAAAACAAACAAACAAAAAACCAGTTATGAGAAATGAGGCCAAGTTCCTGCATCTCTCAATGGTTCTGTTTCCTTTTCTGTAAAATGGGCTAATGCTAGTACTTCACAGTGCAGTTGTAAGTTTGAAATGAGTTAATATACATCAAGTACTCAGTGCAGTGAACAGCATCTAGCACTTGCTCAAAGGTATTAACTACCATTTTATTGTCTTGCCTACAGCAGGTCACATGTCCACTTTAGCAGTTTCACAGCCAGCTTTTGGCAAATTCCTCAGAACTCCCTCAGCAAGTCTCAAATGAAAGGAACTTTGCAGGGCAAGAACACATTTTTCCTCCAACAATCTGTTATCAAGGGTAAGAGAAAGTCAAGGGCCAAAGGTCCTGCTGAAACTGCTGGAAGAGTTAATGACGATTTTCTCCGTATTTACTGAGAGCAGAGAACAGCCAGATACCAAACCTGACCCTGTGGGTAAACGACCAAGAAAAAAACAAAAACTTAAAAGATTGTTCCTGCCCTTGAAGAGTTTACAATCAAACTGAGAGGGGTAGAGAGAAGCCAACGTGGAAATTAGAAAATAAATACAACATATTACCACATACAGAAGAAAATAAGACTAAATGCCCAGAGATCACTGCTAAAGAGTTGATGGGAATGGGAAGAGAAGAATGCAGAAAAGGATCTGCGGTCTTGCAAATGTAAACTCACTTCCAGACACAAGTCAATTCTGCCTCCGCTCTTTATTTTCCGTGCTGAGGGTGGAACCCAGGCCCTTGCTTTGGTGAGGCAATAACTCTTATCACCGAGCCACAGCCTGGTCTCAAAGCGTTTGCTTTGCTTTGTATTTTCCCTTTCACTCAATTAAGGGCACCCAGGCCGCCATGGGGTACCGCTCCAGCTCAGTGGTTTAGACCAGCCCGGTAGACTGTGGTCCCAGGCCGTCTCGCACCAGTTCTTCCTTCCCTGTCTCTGTCTCAGTCTGTCTCGCTATCCTGGGGATTGGAACTCAGGGCTTTCTCACTGTGCTACATCCCCAGCATTTTTTTTTTTTATCTTAAAATTTTGACACAGGGTCTCACTATGTCACGAAATTGCAAGGCTTGAAGTTGTGACCCTCCTGCCTCAGCCTCCCAGAGTGCTGAGATTACAGGGATGCCCACCACACACCTTGCTCAATTCAATTTTAAAAGTCAACCCGGACGTCGAACGATTCCCCTCGGAATCTTCTTCACTAACACAGCGAACCACCCCAAATTACCACAGAGCAAACACGAAGGAAATTGGGCTAGGCCTCAGTTTACTGCCTGGTTCCTGACTCTTCAAACTGCGCCCTTCCAGGATCGCCCAGGGACCGTCTGGGCACTGAGAAGCTCAGCGACTTTCTGGTAGAAGTAACCACCTGCGTTTACTGAGCGTTGTAGTTCTCCACAGACCTGGCTTCCCACCCCGGACCCTCTGCTGCCCCTGGTGGCGGCCACCATCTTACCCGGGCTTCACAGTAGCGCGGAGCGGAATCAGCAGCCTCTCGGCAACGGTTGTTTTGAACTACACTTCCCACGACACTTTTCTCAATATCGCGAGATCTCTGACGAGACTATCGGAAAGATTTGCGCGCAGGCGCAGGCTCGCGTTCTTGCCGAGGTCGGCCTCGTGTGTGGAAGTCATGGCTGTTCCCGTGCGTGCAGAACCCGGTGAGCAGCCTTGAGGTTTTGGTGATAGTATAATGTTGCGGAGGTGGGAAAGTGGGGTTTTCTTGACACGGTGCTATCACTCTTGGCCTCCCCTTCGGAGCTGAAGTGACGATAAGCCCGGCCTCCTCATAGAGTTGGGAGGTTGAGCTTCTGGATTAAAAATGCATTCTAAAAGGCGAGGGATTTTTTTGAATGGAGAGAGCTGAAGCCAATTTTTGGAGTCGAAGGGCTTTCACCCAGCGCGACCCAGTGCGCCTCAGAGCCATTCCTGTGTTGAGCACGCAGGCCCGGCGGCCTCGGTGGGGAGGGGGTTCTTCCCTGTCCGCCCCCAGGCACTGACGATGGCAGCTGTTAACGAGGGGCTGCGTCACACTTGACGACCAGTCACCCCATTTTTTTATTGAATGACTACATTTATTTAATGAATGGGAGTGTAGACTCTGGAAAAACTCCGTAGCTTTAATACCGAACCTTTTTTTCTTTCCCTGAAGGCCTTCTTTTGGCATCTGCAAAGACGATGAGCTTAAAAGTAATGGACGTAGACATAGAAGGTCCCCAAGGAAGCAGACATGGTGTAATGATCTGGCTTATATTTTGTTCTGAAGTTTAACTGCACGTATGCATGCTGTTCTAAGTCCATTTAGGGTAAGAACTCTACCCAGAATCTACAATGCCATTTCTCGAATGGTAAAAATGAGGAAGGTGGGTGCTGGTGTTATTTGGGGCCACTAGGTGTCACTGTTCAAAAGAGGCCAATTTGAAGGGGTGAAAAACTATGGATGAGTTAGGGTTGGCTGGGCTCGGGAGTTTGTCACTGGTTGAGCTGAGGATGATTTAAAGTTATCCCTGTCTGAAATGACATCTTTTGTGGAGTCTTGACTTACTGAGGCTCAACTTTTAAATATGTTTTGAGAATAAATTCCTTAAGATAGCTAACTGTGAGGGTAAAGTTTTGTTTTCCTTTTAGATTGAAGGTGCTGGCTGTGGACTTTGAAGGAAGTCGTGTGAAAACTCATCATCTTAAGATGCTGAGCCGAAGGATCTTCATGATAAAACTTCTGTGAATGGTAAGATTTTTAGCCATTTCATAGGATTGCATAGATTATGGTCCCCCTTGAGTAATGGTTTGTGAGATTTGGGGATGCGGGAGTCCCCCCCCTAAGTTTATTGGTACATTTTACGTATACAATACAGTTACATTCGTCATTGTCATTGGGATGTTGTGCCATTAACGTGACATCTTGGTTCTTATTTTTTCTCCATCCCCCTTCCCTCCCTTCACTCCCGCCCCCCCGTTTCCCGATTTACAAAGATTTTATTTCCCTTTTTTCTTTTTCTCATGCTTTCTTTTCCCTTCTTTTCTTCCCCCTCCCCCTCCCACTTCTCCTACTCCTTTAGGCCTTTTCTTCGTATTTCACATTATCAATTATGCATTTTGATGCTTATTTAAACATTTTTCACATCAGAGAAACTTTGGTATTTATGCGTGTGTCCTATTTGTTTCACTTAAGAGTATGGCTTCAATGTGCAAAGGTATACATGAGAATTCTGATGGTCTAAATGAGGGGAGTAGTATAGAATTCTTTGTTTGGGTAGACCACTCACACACACACATACTTGGCTTTACATAAGTTTAAAAACTGAGGCTTAGGGAATTGTCTCATCCAAAGTTACACAACCACTTGTTACATTAGATTAGATCAGTGGCTCTAAACTGTAGATGGAAGGTGTTCTTAGTATCCAGTGGATGCAGAATATCCTACAGCCTCTATAAGAAAGAACTTATCAACCTACAAAGTGTTAAATTTACACATCCAATGTGTGGCACACGCCTATAATCCTAGCACTCGGGAGGCTGAGGCAGGAGGATCGCTGTGAGTTTGAGACCAGCCTGGGCTACATAGTGAGTTCCAGGTCAGTCTCAACTACATACATAGTGAGACCCTGTCTCAAAAAAACAAAATTAATAAATAAATAAATTTACACATCCTGGACCCCCACCTGTAATAGCCTTAGAGGAAAATAGCTCTACGGTGATGTCCCATGATCAAGTGTGACCTGTCCAAGAGCAGGGTGTAGGGACAATTAGTTGATCCAATCTGCTTTTAGCTCAAGGATTTTATTAAAACAAGATTATAGTGCTGGTTGTATTTTAAGTAGCTTTTGGGGCAGATTTCTAATCCTCTTGTTTTAAAAAAGACCAAAGGCCACATGCTTGTTCTGCAGGGTAGCTTTATGGATACCAGTGGGTGAAGGAGAAGTGAGCTACCTTGTAGGACATTGCCTTGTTTGTGGCGCAGGTTCTTTGTACGCAGCTGGCCTTCATTAGGCTAGGTGAACTAATGAGTGATCTCTACTGTTTTGGGCATTTTACTGCGCTGCTAGAATGCGTATCCCCTACTGAACTCGCAGACACTGCTGAGGAGCTGTTCTTGTGCCAAGTCTAGGACATTGGGTACATCTAGACGGTAGATAGAAACAAATTTGGCCATAGAGGGAAAACATCCCAATAAGGTTGAGAGTTCACATGAGTGAGGGAAATAAATCACAATTTGTTAAGGAAAAAATAGTTCGTGTGTGCTGTATGCTTGTCGGCTTTGTTGTGGTCTAGCATATGGTGGGAGCTGAGTCCGTGATGATGTAAAGTTATCCCTGTCTGAAGGCAAAGGCCTTTCTATGTGGAATGTGGATCTCTGAAACTCAGCTTCCTGTTTGCTTTCTACAACATTTAGGCAAGATTTTAAAAAGAAGCACTGTGTGTGTGTGTCTTTTTAAGTGGGGTGTGTTTTTTGTTTTTTTGTTTTTCTTTTTCAATTTCTCTTCCTTGCCAGGTACATTCTCATTCTCAGTTTCTGAGGCTGAAAGAGGAACCTCGGGTAGCTGCACCATGGCAGTCATCCTGCTTCTAGACTTGGGCCTGGACGCATAGTGTGTCATTCGTGTAAGCAGAGAATTCCTGAGCAGGCTTGGGTGGAATGTTCATTCTTTTCCTTGCCCTGCCCTCGTCTTAAGGCTGTGAAAAGTGACTGGGAGACTTTAATCTAGTTTTGTTTTGTTTGCTAGGTATCTGGTATGAGACACCAGTGAACTGCTTTGCAGGCAAGTGAAACAGTTCTCTCCTGATGTTGGTAAGCTATGTGTTCCCATCTTTTATGTTCCTAAGAAGCCCCACAACCCTACAAATGGTTAGCTATCCCTCTCTCTCTGAAAATGCCATCTGAAAGGAAATAACTCATTCTGAGGGTTAGGGGTGGCTCCGTGATGGATCTGAGTGGACTCCACAGGGAGCTGAGTTTGTCCAGCCAAAGCCCCAGTATAATGCAGCCCTCTGAAGCTTGAAAACCAAAGGTCTGGTTGCCCTGTTAATGCTGGCCCCTTGATTTATGCTCTCTGCATTGTGGAATGAAAGAGTGCTTGTCACATATTTCAAGAAAATGAATGCTCTTTGAAACAGATGGCAGGGTATAATGTATGCCAATTTGGGCCAGTGAGAACGTTTAATGACTCTGACCTTGTGTCTGCAACAGTGTCCTGACATTCAGGATGAAGGGTACCACGGCCCTGGCAGAGCTGTTCGGTTTCCAGGCGCTTCGTTATCACCAGGAGCCCCCATACGTAGCTTAGTTCCTGTCTGTATGGCATGACTGGCACATGGCTGCTGCTTAAGTTGTCGAGACTGGCATGTGAGCAAGAAAGAAGCCAAATGCTGTGTAGGGGGGTGGGATGTCTTTGTTCTCGCTAAATGCCACACTGGAAGGGGACACAGATTGCCCTTTTCTTTTGAATTTGGCAGCCATGTGCAGGCTCCTTAACATTTAAGATCACAGTTCATTCTGTTACCCAGGAAGCTACCTTTGGAGTAAGATTTACTGATCCTGAACATTGGCTCCAACAGCATATAGATTTCAAATAAAATAAACTGAAATGGTGATCTGGCAAGTAAGAAACTTCTTTGTTGCCGACTGCTTCTGATAGCAGACTTGGCTGGTCTGTAGGACTCTAGTAAACCCTAAGGTTCAGGTCCAGAGGGAGCTGAATATAAATATCCCTGCTGCTTACTGGGAATTATTTTCTTCCTTCTTCGCAGAAGCTTTTCCCTTAGGCGCTGTCTCCTTAAAACTGGTCATTTTAGAATCTCACCAGCCTGCATCAAAACTTGATTCTGCCCAGTTGTGACCTCTCAATACACCTATGTCCGTAAATAATGGTTACAAGTCCTAGACTGATGGCCCTTTTTTGCTTCTAAATTAACTTTTTACAATAACTTTCAGCTGGGCATGGTGGCACATACCTGAAATTCTAGCACGCTGGGAGTCTGAGGCAGGAGAATGGCAAATCCAAGCCTGTCCTTGGCAGTTTACTGACCCTGTCTCCAAGTAAGTGCCCGGGGAGATGTGGTTCAGTTCAGTGCAAAGGCTCCGGGTTTAATCTCTACTAACACCCCCCAAAAACTCACTTTTGAGTCACTTAGTTGGCCGTTTCATTCCTATTCTTTGGCTTTACAGGTTACCTCCCACTAATGGACCAGATCACGCGGACCTGCTTCTCCTAATGTCTATAAAACCATCTCCCCCAAATAGGATCAAGGATTGATTGGGTTTCGCTTAGGAAGCCATTCGCAGTGACTGGAATTAAACACATAAAGACATTCAGAATCCAGTTCAGGTGGCCTTGGTACAATCTCACGTACAGCGGGGGCTGCAGTGATTGTAAATTGAACTTGACATGTATGTACTTTGTTGGGAATCTAAAGGGAAACATGTTTAGCTTGGAAAAGCCTTTCTTAGTGGATTTCTTACCAAGTCAGTGTCTTGGTCTTAAACTTTGAAGCACAAATAAAAGTTTGTTTTCTGTTTTTCTAAATTGACTTACTGCATTATGGGTTAATTCTCTGACTTTTGGAAAAACACATTCTGAGGATTTTTGCAGGATAATACTTAAGCCCGCCTGTAGAATTTGATCAGATATTTCCTATTTTTATAATCGCCTATTAAATTGTATTCCTACTAATGGATTGCCACCCACACACATTGCTTTTACTTCAGATTTAATGAAGCACGGAGAGCGTGTGCAGGTTGGATGGGAATGGAGGATAGTGAAGCGTGTCGAGTGGCGGGGGTTCTCCATCACCGAGAGGTAGATGGGATGTCAGACGTCCTCACTTCCCTGCACTGACCACCTGTCAAGGAGCATGCTGCTGTCTGGAGATGACACCAAGGGAAAGCCAGCTGGGAGCCTTGGTCCTAACGCCAGTAACTGAAGTATAGTTTCCCGCTTGTCTGATGCCTATTTGGAATGCTGTGGCTTTCCCAAGTAGTTGCTTTAGTATTTAAAGCCCAAATGTCCATTCTGTTGATCAGATGCTCCTGGGTTTTTAAAGTTCCAGTATGTCTGGTGACTCAGTTCATCCCCGTCTCCTAAGAGCTGATAGAATCATCTTGCCAAAACTACAGAATCAGAGGCTGGTTCCTGGGCTTTGGTGCAGTGGCCCATGTGGGTTGATGTTGCTGCGAAGTCTGTAAGCTTTCCCCAGAGAGGTCTCCCTCTGCTTTGTACAGTGTAGCCTGTCAAACTGTCCAGTCACTAGTCGTTAAACCAGTGACCAGCAAGGCTTGGTCAAGGGTTGTGTAACCCAGTTAGATAAGACTTAACGGTCATTGTGAAGCCCATGAACCAAACTGCCAATCAGCTGGCTTAAGTTCACACTTATTGAAGTCATGATGTGAGGGTTCAGTATCCAGTAATGTCATCTTGGTGATAAACATCTCTACTGGGACTTGTGGCCGGCTGGCTTCCTTGCCGTTGATGCCATCATGCAGTGGGACCTCTCCTTGGATCCCTCCCACCCTTATGGCACTAGAGATGGAACTTGTCCTCCAAGGCAAGCACCCTTTCACGGAGGTGCCCCCGCCCTTATTCCACCTTCTGATTGTGAACTCCATGCCAAACACTGCATTTTATAGGCTTTTCCTGCCCAACAACACAAAATGGCCACCCATCATTAATACAGCTAGCTAGTTTCATGTTACACTCTGCTTTTTGCTCTCCCACTTCCCCATGAAGCAGGAGTCTCACATTCCCAGAGTTGAGTAGCTTTGGCATTTCGTGGGATGACGAACAGTGGGAAGGTTGGGCTGGGGAGAGGCGTTTGCCTGCGTCCACTGTTTGGTCTTGGTCACTGATAGGCCCTGAAGGGCCACGGATGTTCCAATGTCTGTACTGCTGGCTCTGAGCTGCTAATCTCAGGAATGGCTGGCCGCTGCTTGCTCTCTCAACTTGGGGATGTCCAACAAAGCATTCCACTCTCCCATGGCCATAGAAAGGCATCTATCAGACTCGGGAGCTGCTTGCACAAGCCAAGGCTCTGACAGCGCCTCAGTACCCTCCACTGGGAAGGCGAGGGTTGGGGACATGAAATCCCTCTCCAAAGTTGAAAAGTCAAGAAAAAGGCTTCGGCCACTTGAGGGAACCCGGGCCACACTGCGAGGAGCAGAGGAATCTCAGTTCGGAGTTAGCGCTGGTACAGCCAGAGGATGTGGGCCTTGTGTAGATCCTCCCACAGGGTGGCTTCCAGGCGCAGATCGTGGTTTGCGTAGAATTTCAGCGGCTTCTTCTCTCTTTCGAAGTAGTGGTCAGAATATTTCTGGTAGTTGCGTGTGATGAATCCATAAGCACTGACCTGGACAGGGACAGTCAGTGAGTGAGAACAGTATTTCCTGAGCTCCCGCAGCGCAGACAGACTCGGTAGTGGAGAGGAGTTCGTGAAGGCATGCCCCACCCTGAGCAGTCATCTGTGTGACCATAAACTGAGTCAAGCACTGTGCTCTTGATAGCTTCCTTCTGACTCAGATAAGTTTTAACCCTCTGAACGGGAAACTGTTTAACTCAATGTGTCGCTACTGATAATACTAGGGAGTGGCAGAGCTGGGCCAATTTGCATATGATTCAGCAGGGCCACAGCCCCATTACTATCTGATTCCCATTCTGAGACTGCAGTCAAGAGACTAATCCAATAAAGTAGGGAAAATACAGAAGGGTGCAGCCATGCATGCCTGTAATCCCTGTATTCTGAGAGGCTGGGGCAGGAAGGTTACAAATTTAAGTCCAGCCTGGACAATTTAGGGACTTAGTGAGACCATATTTCAAAGTAAAAAGTGAAATATTTGGGGATATAGCTCAGTGTGGAGGCCTTGGGTTCAGTCCCCTAGTATGTGGGGGAAAGGGAAAAAGTATAGAACCAGAGTTTGCCCTCTAGCTCTTCCTGGCTTTCACTGTTCAGGACCTAATTTTAAACACTGCTGTTCGTTTGCCAGGCGTCGTGACGCACACTTTTAATCCCAGCACTCAGGAGGCTGAGGCAGGAGGATTGCTGTGAGTTCAGGACCAGCCTGGGCTACATAGTGAGTTCCAGGTCAGTCTCAAGCACATAGTGAGACCCTGTCTTGAAAAAGCAAACACTGCCGTTCAACTCTGCCTCTGCAAAGTTCACACAGGCAACATCTCATCCTGTGATTTGAAAGTTTCTGTGTGTGGAAGGCTAAACCGGCCACGCCATGCCACCTCTGGGATGTCCCCGGAGAACGATGTCTCCAGTTCTGTTGAGAAGATTTGCTTTCAGAAAGACAGCTTGACTTGAAAGTTAAATACCACATAGTGAAGGAAGGAAGCCCTGGGACAGCTGTGGGAGCAAAGGCAAGGCTGGCCTAGGACCCATCCTTTAGTGGACTCTGCATAGTGGGTGTTTGCACGGCTGGGGGAGCGTGTGTCTGTGGGGCACAGGCCAAGAGCCCCCATCTGAGGGGGTGACGCAGAAGGAATGTCAGGTCATACTGAGTTCTGTTCATCCTCGGCTGCCCTAGCCGACCCGAAGGGGATCGCCTACCTGGTCACACGTGTGCAAAGCCGTGAGCAGCATGAGGGCCCCAGTACTAGGCATGTATACATCTTCAAAACCTCTGTTAATCAACTCTGATTTCAGGAACCTGGAAGCAAAAAAGAGCCATGAAAGCCTGAGAAAGACATCAAGGCGTCGCTTACTAGCTCCGTAGTTGTACCATTCTGTTTATAGCTGTCCATTCGAACACGTTGGGAAACTTAATTTCTGATAACTCTACCCCAACCAGTTCCCCGTTTGGGAAAAAGCCAAGTGGCCTAAGTTCAAGGCTGTTTGGTTGAAATAAATACCATATGAGGGGTGCCGTGAGAAAGAGGAACCCCAGATGCCATCCTTGCCCCTCTCTCCCTCTCTGTAACAGTTCCAGCCCCTGGGCTGAGTGGTAATCACAAGACCTAGGAACACGTGGCCTGTTCATTTGATCTGAGACCTAAGTTTCTCTCTGCCCCACCTCTTGACCAAGCAGGGGTCACCTAGGAGCCAGGGTCTCCTGGTCTGCACTCGTTGGCATGGTGCCCAGTTGCTCCAGCCTTGGACTTGGATTCACGTCTAAGCCTGGCCAGGCAGGGCGCCTGAACTCGCTGAGCCTTTCTTCCTCGGCAGAACCGGGCTTCCACGGGCCTCCCTAGACCACTTATGCCCCTTTCCTTCTCCTTGTCTTGGGATGTTTGCTTCTGTGGTCTCTGTGCAGTGTTCCCGCCATGGCACCGTTAACGTTTGGGGCCTGTGCTGTACGTTAGGGTTTACGGGCTCTACCTACTAATGGTGGCCCTCCCCTTTCGATAACCAAAAATGTCATCGTACAGGACTAGATGCTGCTCCCAGCACGGAGAACCTCTGGTTTCTGGGAGGGAGGAGAGAAGTGAGACGGTTTCCTCCTGAGGTTACCTTGGGCTAACATTGCTTCTACCCACTACCACCAGAACTTCCTGTTCATCTCCTGTTACTCTGGCCACCAGAACACCACCTCCATCCAGGTAGTAAATAAAATAGTAACTGAAATAAGAGAAAGCGCTTGGCTCTGTGCTGGGCACATGGCACTCACTGTCATGGGTCACAGTGAACGGGGCTCCTGGAAGGCACCCCAGTTTGGAGTAGTAGTGAACAGGGAGGGGAAAGGTTGCTGATCTTTTGGCCCCCCGCCACCCACCCCACATCCCGTCCCCGTCCCTGGCACCGCTGTACCTTTCTTTCAGGTAGCTGATGAAGTCTGGGTGCAGGAGCTTGAATTTACTGGCAGAGGTTTCGGGTCCGAAGTAGGTGTGAGGCCTAGAACCCACGTTAGAAGTGGACAAAGCGCCCAGAGCCATCGTACTGCAGGAAGGCTCTGGGGCGTCGGTGGAGGGAGCGGTAGGCTTGGGGCTGGGAGTAGTAGCGGGAGAAGGGGGTGTAGAAGGTGGCTGGCAGCACCGAGGGCACCACGTGTGGCTTCCCCCTCACCAAGACCTCCGTGGGTGGGGAGTAGGAGAGGGAAGACGGGGGTGTGAACAGGGCAGGAGGTGTGGGAAAGGAGCAGCTCCCAGAGGGCGTGTAGGGGGGTGGCGGGAGGAGGGGGAAGTACAGGGAGCTGGGGGGAGTTTTAGGGGGCTTCGGGGTCAGGCAGGGAAAGTCACAGGGAAAGCACTGGTTTTGGGGAAGTGGAGCCGTAGGGGGCTGGAAAAAGGGGGGCTCCTTGAGGAAGTGGGGCACATAGGGGGTGATGTAGGATGGGATGTTCCGGCCGGGCCCGATGTAGGAGGCCAAAGTGGCAGGGCTGTAGAAGGGAGACCTGGGGGTGAGGGAAGGGTTCCGGGAGAGGGGTTTTAAACCTGACTGGGAGGGAGACTTGGAGTTGGGGGGTGTGCTGGCTTGGTTAGCCCCTCCTCGGGAGGTGTGTTGGATGTGAGGACTGCGGCTCAGGGAGGAGGCCCGGGAAGAGGGCTGAGAGGGGTTTGGGGTGGGAGGGTGAGAGGCTGGGAGGGAGGAAGTCCCCCGGGTAGGGGACGGCAAAGGCGCCCAGGCTCCAGAGCTGGCGTAGGGCTGCTGGTTGGAAGTGGTGTGGTTGGAACGGGACTGGGTGGGGGACTGGGTAGGGGATGGATTGGGGGTGTGGGAGGGGGAGCTCATTGGTGTTGAGGGGCCTTATGTCCACCTGATGTCTCTGAGCCAGTGCCCCAAGAGCCCAGACCTGCCAGCCGTGTCACAGAGCCTGTCCTCACGGCAGCAGCAGAACAACTAGGGAGCAGTTGTTGGGTAATCGCAGGGGCGGGGCTGGGGCTGGCCTGGCTTTTGTGACCTAACCCATAAAGCCCAGCTCAAAAGCTGCCCTTCAGGGCTGGGGATCTAGCTCAGTGGTGCTCCTGCCTGCCTCAAAAGCACAGGTCTTGAGTTCGATCCCTGGTACCAAAAAAGCAAAAACAAAACCCAGCTCTTCAGACATGGTGGCTGGCTGATGCCTGTAATCCCAGCCCTCAGAGGCTGAGGCAGGAGGCTTACAAATCTGAGCCCAGCCTGGTATTTTAGTGACTCAGCAAGGCCATGTCTCATAAAGAAAGGAAAGGAATGTAGCTTAGTGTTAGTGTGAAGGCCCTGGTTCAACCTCTAGGACTCAAAGAAACCAATCCCCCCAAAACCCTGTAGTGCTTTTTGGGAAGTGGGTGAGAGGCCCCCCGAGCACAGGGAGGAAGCTGGTCATCTCCGCCATGGGCCAAGGCACTGAGAGAGACAGCAGTGGCTTCACCAGGGCCAGGACGCTTCAGACCCAGGCGGCTGCACAGGAAGGTGGGGAGGAGGACAAGGCTCCCTTCGTTCCCGCCTCTCAGGACCCTGGGCCTGCCCAGCCTGTGCGCCTGCCTCCTGGGTGCCGCCCACAGGATGAGTGGCCTGTGGTACTGCAGCCCTGTGTGTCCCTGAGACGCTGATGGCCGGGCTGGTGATGGAGCCAGAAGCCTGAGGAGCCCGGAGTGCTTGCCCCACTCAGAAGACCCGCAGACAGCGGGGGACCTGCGGGGCCTCCCAGGCTTCCCTGAGGTTAGGCAAAAAGAGCACAGTTCTCCACTGCTGTGAATGGTTTTTGGATTACTGAGTTCTTAGGGATTTTCTCATTGCCCTTCACCCAGCTTCTCTACTCCACCATGGGCCTGGGCGTGAGGGGACCCAACCACTACTGCAGCCTCACACCACTGCCTCTGCTGCTCACCTGTCTCCTTCATCAGGGCCCTCAGGCACAGGCACACCCAGAATGGCTGATCTCAGCATCAGGTACTCACGGATGCTTGAGGGGATGAAGACATAGCGCAAGTCCTGTCGGGGCGAAGCCAGGGCTGCATTCGGCTGCTGCTCCGAGGGAACAGCCCGCTATCTAATCTTGGCATCTGAGCTGACTGGAGTTTCTTTACATGGCTTTATTCCCATTCTGTGGTAGCATGATGATTTCACTGTATGCTCACAAGTGCTTTGACACCCCTCTCTTCAAGAGACAAATCCTTTGCCAGGAGTGACAGCATATGCCTTTAATCAATCACTCTGGGAGGCTGAGACAGGAGGCTCACACACACAAGCCCAGCCTTGAACCTCACGACTTGGTTAAACTGTCTTAAAGTAAAAAATGAAAAAGACTTGGAGCATAAGCTTGGTGTGAAGGTCCTGGGTTCAATTCCCAGGGCAGGGGAAAAAAGAAAAAGAATAAAGAGCCAGGTGTGTCAGCAAATGCCTATAATCCCAGCACGAGGGAGGCTGAGACTGACGGGGGATTGCTACAAATTCCAGGCCAGCCTGGGCTACATAGTGAGTTCCAGGTCAGCCTGAATGACATAGTAATCCCTTGTCTCATAAGAAAAAACAAATAAAGTTTTTCTAAAAAATAGAAAAAGTGGGAAGCAACAGCATATGACTTCAGAGGCGAGGTCATAAAAGGTGCTGTGGCTTGCTTGCCTTTGTCTTCGAGTGAAGCTGACTGTCACGTTGTAAGGACTCCCGCATTGCCCACAGAGGGGTCCAGGTGGCAAGGACCTGTGAGAGTACCATCATGACTCAGCTGACTGAGGCTTCAGATGACAGCGCCATCACCACCACCCAAGAGACTGAGCCAGATCTACTCCGTGAAGCCACTCCCAGATCCCTAGTCATTGACATGGTAAGATAATACACATTTTTCATTTGAAGTTTTCGAGTCAGTTGTTACTGATGACCAGATGATGACACAGATGAATAGATGACTTATGCAGGGGCTGTGGCCGCACTGGAAACAAAGCTGCCCGTTTCGTTCTGTCATGAGCTAACGGCACTAGAGTGGTTTGGATTCTCTTGAATGCCCTCCTCAGAGGAAGAAGCTTCTAGAAACCTGGCCATGTCTTGTCCAGCACCACATAAGCCCTTCCCTGGGATCTCCTCAGCCCTGCATATAGCAACCCAGATTACTTGAGGTTAGAAGTATGGATTTAGGGCAACTGAGTATAGTTGAAAGAACCCAAGGCCCAGCGGACAGGCTCAAATGCTGGTTCCCACTCATTAGCTGTGGCCTGGCACACGTGTTCCTTACTTTCTTGTATCTGTTTCCTAGATAGGGCTATTGTGAGAACTCAAGGGATTAAACAGTATTCTTTCGGTGGGCCCTGTGGGGAAATGGAAGTAACTTCAGTGCTGGGACCAAGGGGCCTAGATTTTGGTAATTCTAGCTAGGTCACCTTGGATGTGTACCCAGAGTTTTCAGTCTGAGTTTGGCCATCTGGATAGAGGTATGATGACCTCACCCCTGGCGGTCCTGACACCATGTCTGTGCCCCTGCTATGCTGGGAACAGGGGAAGGTGCTTGATAAAAACCCTTCCTGTGTGCACAGCTCCTACAGGCTGATCTTCTCAGAGATCATGAGCTCTTGCCAGGTGAAAGGGCACCAAGCTCTCATCTCCCCATCAGTAAAAGAGTTTTTCTGGCACCTGCCAAACACCTGGTACGTTATCGGCATTCAGTAAATATTAGCCGTCTGTCTTCTGTGCTCTAGAGAAGGTCCGAAAGGATGTAGAGTCCTTGACCAGCTTCTCCTGCAGCTTCAATCAGTCCATCCCAGGCAGCCAAGATCCTGGCACTAGCACGTCCTCTTCCTGTGCACCGGATGTGGCTCTGGAAGCCCTGTGGTCCACCCCACAGAGGGGCCCCAGGAAGATGGCGCCCACTGCCAACCACAATGGTGTGCCCAGCATAGCCTCACCTGTCCTTGTGGTACTGAGGTGAAGCCCAGGTCCCGATAGGAGATGAGGGAGTTCTTCATGGTGTTCACAGTGAAACCATAGAAGGAGGTCTTGGTGCCCACATCGCGCTCGAAGCCTTTGATCACCGCTCCGTTGAGCCTGGCCAGGGCAGAGGCCGTCATTGTCTCCAGTCTCGCCACACTTCTGCTTTACTTCATTTCTGTGGCTCTTCGCCTGTCCCCACGCCCCTCTTGTGTTTGGATACTTCTGCCCCTATGTCCAAGGCAAGCCCCATGCCCACTCCCCCAGCCCTCAAGGGAGCCCCTGTGAGTGGGTAAATCTGGCCCTGGTGGCCCCTTCCTCCCCGGTCCCCTTGCATTTGGGCACCCAAGCTCCATGTTGAGGGTCTGCTGAGCCTTCTTCTCCGACCGTCTGCCCATCGCGGTTGCCCAGGCCCCCATGTTGCTCAGCCCCTGCTGCCCTGTCCCCTGTCTTCAGGGAAGACGCTCCCTGGGCCCCCCACCCGCCTTCCCTGGCCTCTGTCCTCATACCTGAACACGTAGTCATGGGCATCGATGTTCAGGCCCTGACAGGACCCGTTCAGAATGCCTGCGTTACCCACCACGGCACACCGGATGCAGTTCGCTGGGGGCTCCCTGGAACCGGCAAATAGCTCTGCGCTCTTGGAGTTGTTCAGGAGGCTCAGGGCAGAGGTGATGGCTGTGGGTAAGGACAAGGGGCGGCCATGAGGAGGGCTGTCAACAGGGTCACTGGGGTCTTCTGGACCACCTGGCCAGGCTTCTCAGCTCACCTGAGGCCTGACCCCATCCCCTCCCAAGAAGCACAGAAACTGGGCACAACATGGCAGGAAAGTGGAGGAAATCGAGGGGGAGGAAGAGGCATGGCTGGGCCTTTGTGGCTTTAAGAACTTGTACAGCTGGTGGAGCAGGCCTGCCAGCCTAGCGCTTGGGAGGCTGAGGCAGGAGGATCAGGATCGCCACAAGTTTGAGGCCATCTGGGGCTACATAGAGCTCCAGGCCAGCCAGCCTGAACTACATAGTGAGACCCTTTCTTAAAGAAACAAACAACAACAAACACAGGGCCGGGAACTGAGGAAGTAGCTCAGCTCAGCAGGGTAGTAGCAAGTGGGAGGCCCTGGGTTTGATTCCTGGTACCAAAAAAGAAAAGAAAAAGAAAACTCCCCTTCCCCAAATCCACATAAAATAAAAATTTAATAAAGGGCTGGGGTATGGTCCAATGGTAGAGTGCTTGCCTAGTACACACAAGGCAACTCCCTGAGTTCACTCCTAGCATCTGCCCCCGCAAAAGAACTCAAATAACCAGTCCACTCAAGACTGTGTGCTTTACAAAAGAAAGGAATCTCAGGCATGTTGGGGACAGGTTTAACTTGGAGGGGGCTGGAGTGCCGGCAGGGCCACAGCAGAAACTGTAAGCAGGACTGTTGAAGCCCCTTGGCCTCTGTCCTCAGTACCCATTGGACAGTGGGCACTGTCATGCCAGGGAGGCCCCGGATGGTGAGCTGCCGAGGGGGACACCCTCCCCCCTGCCTGAGGCCTGGGTGCTTGGATGAAGCTGAGACGCGAGGCAGGATTCACACAGCTGGGTTCTGGGAGGAGAGGGTCACATGTCACAAATGCTGCAAGGGCAGTGGACCTGGGGGCACAAAACAGGGAGAGGTACTGGGTCGAGGGTTACCTTGGTGGGAGAGCCCCTGCCAGCCGTAGGGGGCTTTGTGCCGGCTCAGGCTGTCCCAGAGCTCTGGGGTGAGGAGGCCGCCCCACAGCAGCACTGGAGTGGAGAAATCGAACAGGCCCCGGAAATAGTGGTGCTGCCTAACTGCCTCCGAAAGGGAGTGTGGGCAGGACCGGCTCTGTGGGGGAGAAGATGAGAGGGCTGAGCCCTGTGGGGGCAGGGCTTGGGGGTGGGCTGCCTCCCAGGAGCCCACAGACCCCCCAGGAGAGAGAGAGTCGAGTCAGGGGCCTGAGCCGCCCTCCCTGTCCAGACTGGGGCGCCCCTGGATCTGCTAGCTGAGACTGGGGTGGGGGGTGTCCGGCAGCCTGATGGGGGTCGGAGAGCTTTCTGGAGTCAGTCTGTCCAGCCCTCCTCCTCCAGACGCCACCTGTCCCTGCTCTGTTGGGTCTTGCATCATACTCCTTCCCTCACACATGGGCAAACTTTGGGCACTCTCCAGTGACTGGGCATGACCTGGGCGTTGGCATCCATCAGCCTGGGTGGTAATCGTAGCTCTGGTAGTTGTCCCTGTAAGATTCGTGTGTGAAAGGGCTGCTGGGAAGATTTATAATCAAATTTCTTTCTTCTTTTATTTTTTGTTGTTGCTTTTTTGAGACGGGGTCTCACTATGTAGTTGAGACTGACCTCACTATGTAGCCCAGGCTGGTCTTGAATGCACAGCGATCCTCCTGCCTCAGCCTCCCGAGTGCTGGGATTACAAGCCTGCACCACCATGCCCAGCTTTACTTAAGCCTTCTTAAAAGGAGGCCACTCGAAGACAGAAGATCACAGGGTGATGGAGGCGCAGACTGGAGTGTGGCAGCTACAAGCCGAGGGACACCAGGAGCCACACGATGGATGCCGGGAGAGACCAGGGAGGCTTCCTTAGGGCCGTCAGGGTGGGCATGGCACTGCCAACACTTTGGGGCTTTTGGCCTTCAGAACTGTTAGAGAATCATCTGCGGCTGTCAGTCCCTCAGTGTCTGCGGCCGTGTGTTCCAGCAGCCACACAAAAGGAGCACAGCACCTTGGTGTTTGAGGGCCCTGGGGGAGGGCAGAGTTGCCTCCCCGCAGTATTGGAATCTCACTCAGCCTTGGTCTCACGAGGGCTACTGTTACTACCAAACAGGGCTCTTAGTTAAGTGTTGAGTGTTGGTTTGGTCCAAGGATGGAGCAGGAAATGGCGTAAAGTTGTTTCTGATGTGATGTAACACAGGAGTTTCTAAAATTCACCACTGTACGGACTCAAAACCGTGCAATCAAAACCACAGGACTTACGGAGTGACAGGATGAGTGGTAAAACACTCAGAAACGCTGTTGTCTGTGATGCATAAAACTGAAGATAGGGATTCAAAACAGATGGAAAACTGTTGCCTGGTTACCAAAACGGTGGTACTTTATCTTGAAAAGACCTGCAATTTGCTCGTGGCAGGGGGCACTGGAAGGGCAGCGGCTTGTGAGTTGTGAAATGGGCAGCAGGTTTGTCTAAACGAGAAGGGAAGCTGCAGCAGCAGGTTACTGCACGCGCAGCGAAGCTGATGGTGTCACAAAGGTTGTGTGTGTGCCTTTTGTGTCTCCAGGCAGCTCTGCTGAGTTGGTGTGACTTCTGCATTTACCTGGTGTCCCACAAAGTCCTCAGAAGGAAACTCAAAATTTGTGGGATGCTCAAGTTGTTGATAAATACAGCAATCTCATTGGAACAGTCTCCAAGCAGGCAGTATTGCAGGACAGACTACTGGGGGCGGCATTTTATGAACTTCTGGGAGAAACTCTTCAGGTCTTGAAACAGGAAGTGCTGGGCTTCGCTTGGGCAGTTGGCTTGCTTTTAGCTCATGGATATGGTAGTGAGGTTTCTGTCTTTGCTGTGGCCACCAGAAAGCTCAGAGTCCTGTGGTATACTTTTCGCGCGCTTCTCTAATACTATCTTATTTTTCTATCTTTTCTTTTTTGCTTTGCCTCATTTTATTTTCTCTTGTTTTTGCCTTGTGTATGGATTCAGCTTGACATGCCTACAGCCATCTTAAAGCATAACTGCCATGCTTGCCCCAGAAGAGCCCTCCCTAGTTTTTCCTGCATAGTTTCCCAGCAAACTATAAATAGATAAGACCATGAAAGTCACATGTAGAGCTTTACAAGCAGAGACTGGCTCCAGGGATACGTGGGACTCTTTGATATTAAAACCAGATACATTTCAGCAATGATGAAGTCACTTTTGTCCTATCTTATAGGCACACTCCTCTTCCTGCCCCAAATAGATGAGCTCCAACTGGTCCTTCTGCCAGGCAGGGCCGTGCCTTAGTCAGAAAGTCGCCCAGTAAACCCTCAATCTGCCTGCCTCTCTTTTTTGGTGTCACACACCTTGGGGTCAGTCCTCATACACCAGGACCGAGCTGTCCTGGAATACTTTGGTATACGTGTCCAAAAGCTTCAAACCAGAGCTCTATGTCAGGATCAAGTAGAAAACTTATAGATGGCCCGGTCCAAACACTCTTAAGATGTGTGAGGCCACTCTTCAGCCTGCTGGCCAAGCATCCACTGGCTTTTTCTTGACACAAGTGTCCCCGTCCCCTGCAAAGGTGGCTGGCTCCATTTCTGAACATCGTGACTGTTGTTGAGCTCTTGTGCGCAGGGAGGTCTTTCTCCCTGAGGCCCCAGCTCAGTCTCTGGGGCATTGGGAGCCACTTAACCTGCACTGATCCAGAACGATTAGGTCATCACCCAGTTGCAGCGTGGAGCCAGGGTGGCAGGGGGCGGCTCTAGCTCACCTGGTGCACAGCCAGGTTCTGAGATCAGAGCGGAGCTCTCATCCCCAGCTCCTTCAGTGAACCTAATTCCTCTGTGCCTCTGTTTGCTTATCTGGAAGGGCTCCCTCCTCGGATGCTGTGAGATTTGAGTGAGAAAACACAAGTGCAGGGCAAAGCAGGGCCTCGGGGGCCCGTGGTCAACGCTGGCTATTGCTCAGGGTTGTGGACCAGACCTCACAGTTCTCAGGCCCGGAGGAGATGGGGAGCATCTTCCCAGCACTTGCGGTGGATGCTGTGGTGAGCAGTTACAATGGGACGCAAAGTAAGAAAATATCTGGAGGAGCAGAGCATAAAATCCACCTGACTTTTTGACACTGGGTCTTTTTAAATTTTTTTTCCTTGTGCTTGTGAGATGGGCATGGTGCCACTGAGCTAAATTCCCAGCCCAGTATTCTTTCTTGATACAGGGTCTTTTTTTTTTCCACCTGACTTTTTAAGATAACGTCTTGACTCCTAAGAACTTTTCAGTACTGTTTTTTTTTTTTTTTT